CAATGACGGGGCCAATATTTACCTAGCGGTAAATTTAGCACCTTCTGTAGGTATCGCAATTAAGCGGATTTAGCATGGGATAATTAAACCATGAGCTCCAAAAGGCTTCTTCTGTAAGGAATGTGTTACACTATACTTTCTCGGTTTCGTGATTGATTACTATCATATTGTGTTTTCTCGCAAGAGTTCTTAAAATGTAGCTTTGTACTTGCTATTCGTGGTAAGATTTTTTTAAAACACGTAGATACTCGACTAATCGACTATCGTTTTCCACTATAAAATAATCTCCTTCCACATTTTCAAAAAAACACCGCCAATAACTTAATAACACCAACAACGCGTCCCTACTTACGTCGGAATATCGCGAAGTTCTTCGAATCACTTGCGTTTTCGTTATCAACACCAGATGTGCAATAATTCATTTTCGCCTGATAAGGCTCCTTATCGCAAACGACCAGATGTGTCTTACATTTTAACACAAAATTTCACGTTTTACAATGAAATACACAAATCTAAAGAAAAGCAACAAGAACCACGCAATTACAAAACTTCTAAAAGGAAAAACAACATTGAGACACAAATTAAAATACAGAACGTATTGCTGTATTGTTTTTGCTAACTTCACAAAATTTCTATTGCTGAATCTCGGGTAACACGAAACGCGACAAATGAACAAAAAAAAATAAAATGCTTTCCAGAGCATTCACAGGGTTTACAGAGCAATCAAACACTTTTTAGGACTTCTGAGGTTTTTATATATCACCCTATGATATGTTTACTTTTGTTAGAAGCGTGTAACTAATACAACTCTATAAGAAAGTTGACATTGCGCCGTTTACGCATTGCTAATTCAATGTTTACTATATGCGCTATGCTTTTTATTAGGTACTAGAAGCATATATGTTTAAAATTTACAACACATGTCTATCCATTTGACATTGCACTGTCTGCGCACATCTGGATTTTTACAACACACGATATGTTTGCCTTCACTAGAAACATCCTCGGTAACGACACGTCCTTGATAACTACGAAAGCGTAAAGAAGGCTTTGAAAAGTGATTACGTCGTATATACAGGCTGAACATTTTCTCTGGGCACTGGGTATATCTCCAAAACAAGATTTTTGTTAAAGAAACTGTTTATGCTATCGAAAAATATACGATTTCTACCAATCTACTTACTTTAAATTTGTAGTCAGTGGCGTCCGAGGTGGCGTCCTTCTGCTGGTGAAGGAGGCATATTTTTGTAAATGGAAATTACTAGTTTTCGAGTATTTATCAGCAGCGCTACCAGTAAGAATATGGCCCAACCACTACGTGCCAACGACAACCATTTTTAGTTTTGATAAATGATCCTCGATTTTGGTAATGAATTTAATTGTTTTCCTTATCTACCGACCTTATTAGCTGGATTATCATAATGTTGTCGTAAACATTGTTTTGAACGTTATAATTAATCTGCCAAATTATCGGGGTAATCTGATAATCCTTCCCTGAGAGCATCCATAAAAGCGTCGTCAATATTTTCTACGCTTGGGCTTTCACTCAAAAATTCAAGTCTTCAGTTTTACTAAAAGAAAAATCCTGACGTTGACTTTAAAAACTAAAAAAAAATTACCGCAATTAAATTCCGTAAATTTCAACGGAAACGCTACATAAATTATTTTGGAACAGATGAGAAATTCACATTTTTTTTTTGTTTGAGTAGTAGAACAACGTAAGACCTTCTGCACAGGCACCTCTAAAAAGCATTCTGCGGGTCACTCTGTAATTGGGTTTCATTAGAATACCATGAAGGGTAGAACATGTGTTACCCCCCCTCCCTCCATTTTCTAAAGTTTAACTTGGCACCACTAAAGGCATGCGTATGCAAAATCTGTGACCAATTGGTTGCCGTATGTAAAAGCTATACACGTTTTACTTTCAAAAACAGCATCTTAATTCGTGGGGGGGGGGGCCTTTTAGACAGCGAAATTTGATGGCCGTCTGGCACACCTTCAAGGTATAGGCTACGTACTGCAAAGAATTCCAGGACTCTAGGATCATTCCCCTAGAAGTAGTTCGAAACAGCAGAAATGGGTCCGGGCGGACGGACGGACAAATCGCAAACAATAGCACATTTTTTAAAATTCTTAAAAAATGTGCTAAAAATAAACACAGATGACGTCTAAAATGTCAAACTTATGTCATGAAATGAGTTGAGAAATGTCATGTTCTATTGACGTTTGAAAAAAAAATTTTTTAAGAATAAAAAAAAATGCGCTATTGTTTGCGTTTTGTCCGTCCGTCCGCCCGGACCCACTTCTGCCGTTTCGAACTACTTCTGGTCCTATAGTCCTGAAATGTTTTTCAGTAGGTAGCCAGGTGTGCCAGACGGCCATCATATTGCGCTGTCTGAAAGGCCCCCCCCCCCCCCCCCCCAGAATTATTTCCGGAGATACTGTGTTTGAAAGTAAAACGTGCATAAGTTTTACATACGACATTCCCGTGCGACTTTCGAGATCAGTGAGCGACGGGGCCTGGGGGGGGGGGGGGGTAAAAATTAAATTTTATCTCTCAAGAAATAATATCCATTGGCGATGTCAGATGTCAAAAACAAAAGCTATTTCGGTTAAAAAAAATGCGCTTTATCCTGCACAAGAGTTGTGCAAATTTATATAGACTGGTTCACTTTTATAAAAAGCAGCGTTTTAACAGGTTCTAGGGGCATTTCAGACAACATTTGGCCAAATAGGCGTTTTTTACTAATTTGGACCTGCTGAACACGAATATCGATGTTGGCATCTCGAAATCTGAACAGGAAGTTCAGAATTCAAGATGGCGGGCAATTTCCGAAAATGTTGATCTTTTCACTCATGCGACCGATTTTTTCGAGCTAAAAACGGATTATAATGTTATTCCTGACGGAGGTACGGCACGATAATAATAGTGAACAAATGTTTAAACAATGATTCCATAGTTTTTCTAACGTCAAAGTGCGTAAAAGTGGAAACCTTTTTTTCATAGTAGGTATATACCTACTGTATGGCTACTGTTTAAATTTGTTCACGTCGTGTAATTATTAAATTATTTCTGTTTTGGCAAGCATTTTGGTTCCTGTGCGTCGTGTGATAGATATCCGCGATGTTCCATTAGGTACCTCAGATTTGGAAGAATTTCCTTTCATTAGAGGAAAACGAAAGAAACGAGTTATTGTCGCATCACCTTGAAGACGCCTCATTTGACGGCGTACTGGTGATTGTTGGAAGCTTCAGAGACGAAAGAAAAGTTTTCTGTAACCGTCAGACGACACAGATTTCCTCCTTAGAAACTTTTCACAAGGAAGCGAATACTAGGATAACGCTACAGATACAGATGTATTTCTGTTGCTTCTTCATCACTTCGAGAAAATACTGGCAAACGAAATTTGGTTGCTGACCGGCGACCGGTACTTCAAGAAAGATATGTATTTGTTCCTATCCATAATGATGTGCAGAGGAACTGGCCAAAAGCAGTAGTAACGAATATCCTGTCCTTTTACGCTATCACAGGAAGTGATGTCACATCATTTGCTGTTGTGAATTTCCACGCTTGGGTGCATTTATTTTTAATTATTTATTTATTTTTGACCTTTTCTTTTTAAGCAGGGGGGGTATCGACTTGGCTCGCATATTTTAGGTGGCGTCTTTTCTTCTCTTTAGGTAACCGATACCATAGCTTCCACCGACGGTGCGCGTCCCGCTTAGTTCGGTAGGGAGAAGTCGTTACCAGACGTCGTTTGGAAGAATGCGCACGTCCCTTGCCACATCTCGGTTAATCAAGTAGGATTTCCCAGAGTGGAGAAGCATTGCCAAGTTTCAGGAGCTGCGAAGCTTTAGATCTAACAATTCTAAACTCCATTCTCTTGGGATTCCATCTAATCTTCTCTAGCATTTCATCCATTTCCATAATTACGGCATATCAGGTGTAAGTCTCAAGAGGTACTTCTTTGACCTTAAACTCTGAAATGTGGCCCAGACTAGCATATCTATCCTTGATTTCCTGGGGAAAGAAAATGGCTAGGATTGCTCGTCAAAACTTTGTAAATGTCGCAAGGCTCAGTTGATTTGTATTAGGTACCTAATTCTCAAGAAAACAATTGACCTAACACTGAAAATAAGATAAATTTGCCTTCACTTTTCTATATGCTTTCATACTTTAATAATAATAATACATCCTGAGTAACGGTAGTTAATACCTAGCAAAATAAGAATCCTCCGAAACACCGCAGTTTAGTTGAACTCCTTCATTTTTTATCAAAACTTTATAAGGAGAATTATGCAATATAAACGCATGCCGGGAATACTATATGTGTCGGGATTACTAGAAACAATCGTTTTGCAAGTCCTCCTTTTGGCAAGGAGAACTAGGAATTTCTTAATTCTTAATTTTACACATCCTGCCACTAAAAAAACTATTACATTATTGTTAAAACAATAGTTAACTATTATTATCGTGATTTACGTCAGGAATAACATAATAATTAGTTTTTAGATCGAAAAAATCGGTCGCATGTGTGAAAAGATCAACATTTTCGGAAATTGGCCGCCATCTTGAATTCTGGACTTCCTGTTCAGATTTCGAGGTGCCAACATCGATATTTGTGTTCAGCAGGTACCAATTAGTAAAAAAAGCCTTGTTGGCCAAATGTTGTCTGAAATGCCCCTAGGACAGAGAAACTTCGAAAAGTGAACCAGTCTACTTGTTTTCGCTATCTGCATATACCAATAAAGGGAAAAAGGAAAATGGCCCCTGTTCAATCACTTATAATTCCGATTTTTGGGTTAATTGACGGCTGCTATGATTTCCCAAAAGGTATATCCGTATCCAATATTCACCCACTTTATTTTAGTTACATGGGATACATTGTAACGTTAAATGTCGTTATGCGAAGTTTGCTGCTAAAGTGCCGTAACACGAACCTTAAATTTGTACATAAATCTCCATATTATTTTGTACTTATATGTGTCTTTTGTTCCAGGAGCACGTAACTAAACTAATCTAGTCGTAGATAAGAGGAATTACCACAATTTGGATTTCTATATATACAAGTAAGTGCATTTTTCTCCAACTTAGGAGAAGTTTTTTGCGTCAAATTTATTATTGTTAGACACTTTGGCGTATATGTAAACGTTAAAAGCATTGTTATGTCGAGTTCTATAAATAATAGAACAGGGGATTTAATGTTTGTGTTAGTGGTGGGTTTAGCAATTTGTTAAATAAGAGAGTAGGATTGATGTAGGTTCTCTTTGAGCATTACGTCGCAATTTTATGTCTGCATTTATGGTTTTGCCAGATTGACAAGCAGATTGGCTGTAAGAATTAAATGGGAGAGGTCCATAGACAAATAATAATTGTTCCCGTATAACATTTATTATTCAATTTCGCTAATTATTTGATTGTAAATTTTAGGCGGATATTGAGTCGGAAATTTAATTCCGTTGTGTAAGCGCTCTCCTAGCAGTTTAAAGGCTCCACTCAATTTCTGTTTATAATAATTGGTACGTAAATTGAGATCAGTTTATCAACAGCAGAAATATAAGATTTCGCCTGCAAGGGAAATTGAGACCAATTATTTTCGGGGATCAATTATTTGTTTCAAATGTTTGTTTATTTCCAAAGTTTACAAGTGCTTATTGGATCGGTTTTTTAATTGTTCAAGATTTGAGTTTGTTTTAATGGAAGTAATGGATGTTTATGGGTGTTATAATGAATTTTCGTACAAATACTGATTCACTACTAAGTACTAACTATCTTTGTATAGACACATCACCTGAGGGATTTTGAAATCTGCTCCATATGTACTTGAACTAGATTTAGAATTTACTCGAAAGTTACTTTTACCACGTAAATCTTATCGTGTAAACAACGTCATGTAGACGTTATTTCATTCTAAACACTTAAAACCATGACGGGATACTCTGTACATGGGAATATTTCCATTTATTGAATAAATCTGGGGAATTATTTACGAAATAAGCACAAAGTTGGTTTGTTCCATTTGAATTTATATATTATTGTTGTTTTTCTTTTTGGAATTGTTTCTAGGCGCGTATTATTTTTTTGTTTAAAGTTTATCGCTCCTGTAAATTATTTATCTAAGTTTGTGTATTTAATTGTAAAACGTGAAATTGCGTGTGAAAATGTAGACCCATCTGGTCATTTGCAATAAGGAGTTTTTATTGGAAGAAATTTAATTAACGCACATGTTTTTATCGTCTCTAAATGAGATAAGGTGTTTTGAAGAATTACGCGTTCTTTCGAAGACTGGGTTATCAAGCCCGATTGTGATTGGCGGTTGTTGTGAACGACCTCAAGGAAGGAGATTATCTTATGATGGTGTTTGCTACTGCTGCTGCTAGCTGTTAGTTTTTCGCGACGGTAAAAAGAGCGTGTAAATTTGTTTACGTTCAACCTCGGGCTGTCAGCCCTAGTTGATTTGTTGAAGACGCAGTTTGTCGGTTTCGAAAGTTTTAAAAACGGTTTGTTCCGTATTCAGAAGCAGTTAGTACAAGTGGTAGTAAACCAAACAATTGTCTGCTTAGTGAAAGTTAACGTTTCGACTGCCCGAGCAGCCACCGAAAATTTTTTTGTATCATATTTACCAAGCCAGTTCGAGTCAATGAGTTCAGTTTATTAAAGATGAAGGGAAGTTCCCTGAAGCTGTCAGCGAGTGTTTTGTGTCATTATTAAGTGCACCTGAATAAACTACTGGCAGCGTAAAAAGTACATTTGAGTTTGACCAATGGAAAGCCTGTTTAATTCCATAAAAGTTAATTAATAGCCGCCTGGATGGACTGGAACCCCTATGGCCTAATACCAATAATCTAAAATAATGTATTAAAATATCGAACGCGTTCCAACAGCAAACAACTGAAACAAACAAAACATGTCAAAATCATTATTCATGCACCAACACCGAGATCGTTGGGAAAAAGACTAAGAGCATTATCTCAACACCAAGACATGAAATTGATGCACTTTTGTCAACCTCATAGATTTTGCTTAAAACATATCAAAGTTGTTATTCTTGCACCGAGATCGTTTGGAAAAAGACAATGCCCAAGACATGAATTTGAAGAATTTCTGTTGACTATATGTATCTTGCACGGTTAAAATATATGGTCGTTAAAAAGTGATGGTAATACTGAGGATCCTTCGATATTTCGTCACTTTTACTACTTACTTGCTTAACTAAGCAAATATCAACTATACGACTGTTTTCGATCAAATGTGCGGCAACGTTTGATTTATTCCGACGATTATTTTTATGATCTTGATTACAATCTTTACAAGATATTTGGTATGTTCCCGATTTTTCGTTCCTGAGAGAGTGAAGGAATTCCGAATAGTTTCGGAGATAACCGATTCGTTATCAACTTTATTTGCCTAAAATGGAGCTGCATTTTTAATTTCAAACATTAAAAGAGCTCGTTATTCTAAAAAAAATATATGCATAAGTTACTTAAATGTTACCACCGTAAAATTGGCAATAAATAAAGCAAAATTTACACAGTAGACCTAGGCTGTGAAATCAAAGCATTTGTGCAAAGCTGTAAAAGTTGAGCGTTAAATTTTGGGTGGAAAAGTGAGAAATGAAGAGGTGTTGAGGAGGGTTGGAGAGGATAACCCTTGTCTGTGGGCTACTCTGAAAAACAGAAGAGACACCTGGATTAGATACATTCTAAGACCCGAAGGTTTTCTAAAGACGCAAGGTCCTGTGGATGGTACAAATGCTAGGGGATCCAGCTTAGAATATATCGACCAAATAATGGTAGACGGGGAGTGTGCACCTTCTACTTGCCACTGAAAAGGTTGGCTGAAGATCGGTAAGGATGGAGAATATATTAAAAAGGACAAATTGTTCAATGTGCGAATTGTGAAGTGAAGCCGACAACAATAATTGTTGCCCATAACAATTAGTGTGTAAATAGCTGACGGAAATGACTTTTCCAGAAAATCTTTTGGATGACAACCTCCACATTTTTACAAATCATATACAAAAATCCGAAATCAGTAGCTTATGCCGTGGGTAGCAACTCAAACGTACAAAAACCGACATAAATATTACTAGAAGTGAATGACGAACTCAGCATTATTTTTTATGAACGACGTCATCATTGCATTATGTTTTGATTACCGGCACAAGTGCATCGGTGAATGATTACGCACTAAACGAAATTCGGGAAACTGGTAAATGTGTACCTGATTAACTAAATTCCCCGCAAGCGTCATAAATACTTACTAGCTAGTAGCTACACATAAAAACGAGGTATTCATGTAAATAACACATTCTTCACTTGTCGCATAAAATCGTTAAACAACCTTCAATTAAATAGAACACTGTCCCGAATACCAACCATTGCATTTGCAGCAAATTGCAATCAGTAAATGCAACAAGAGATCAATTCTAGAATAGAAAAAACATTACATTTCCACCACGGTTTTTTATTCACCGTGATTTCCACCTACGCTATTACAAAAAACACGCTCATTGCGTATCAAATGAATTACTTTGATAGCACGCTTAATGGTTTGAAAGGATTCTGTTTTTTTAATTGAAATAAACTAACAAAAATTATTTTCATAATTGGTTACGCAAATAATGTTCCTCATTTTTTTCACGCTCTGAACCGAAAAACTACAAGTTAATTGTAATTTGTAATTTACGTAATCAAAATACAGTTGTAAACAATGGCGATCTAATTGCTCATATTGTCTGCCCGGCGCGAACTTTCACCATTTCCACATTCTGCCGACTACGCAAGAAACTTCCGAAAAAGGCCCTTTAAATGCGCCTGATAAGTTCGTTAGACCGAAAAATCGGGTCAATGCTAGTTTCATTTATGAAGCGCGACTGGACGTCCGCAAATAATTTGTGCACATTGGCAGATTAGTGCGGGAACTGTGGAAGTAACGATTTTCACTTTCTTTCCAACGTATTGGATGTCTACGACTGGTCGGGTGTTCTCTTTTCCTGATTTGATTACACTAGCACTTTCTCCTTTTATGTTTGGGTCCGCGCTTATGTAATAGAAAGAAAAGTCGACTACCGAGTTCTTCAAAATTTAATCATTTCTTTAAATGTTTAATTCGACAGCAATCTGTGAAAGCGTTTATATGAGTAACAAAGATAGCATGTTGTTTAATATTTATACTGTACTACGGTAATTGTAGTGTTAAGTTGAGTGGGAGGATGGTTTTCATTGAAGGTTTCCAATCGATTTTATTATTAAAGCACGATATTTACGTTGGGTGTTTTCAATTCTTGTTTAGCACCTACCTAAACGGGAAATTCGAACTTATTACTTTCACATAACATATTTCATAATTATAGCAAAAATTTTCCCTTGTTTCATAATCACTTTCCAAGGTTCCCGAAGCTACACCTGAAATTCGATTAGAAAAATACCGGAACATCTTTACGCACGTACCGTAATCATTTTTTTTCACTACTAGCGTCTGATGACATGATTATTAACCTTTTTTCCACTTGTAAAGTAGGCTTTCTCGGCATTTGTTCAAAGTGGTTAATAATTTTTTATTATTAACTAGTAGTCAATAATGAGAACTGTCACGCTGTCACTTTTAGAAAACACAACCCGAAATTTCGCTCAATGAACGTTTAGACAAGTTCTCTAAAACGAATAATTGCCACCATTCGCAATTTCCAGAGAAATTACATACCTGAAATTATCATATTTTGAAAAAATTCGAACGAAATTACTCTTTGAACAATCTCAATGACAGAACAAAATACGGCCTGTTTGACTTGTACTTCCACGTACTTGATTGACATGTTAAATTAAGAAACAAACAATTCTGTCCAACCGTTAACTCTCTTATCAATATAATATGTTAATTTAGAGGATTTCAAGTGCTAGTAGTGAAAAAAATAGTATATATACCACGGTAGAGAAGTCTATTACTTCGCACCTTACACCCCTCGGCGCAAGCGCCTCGAGATGTAATCTTGGTGCTCAGGCAATAATAGTGGACTTCTCTACCTTGATATATAATGTACTATTTTTTCATTGCTATTATACAAACT